TGCTCACGGGAGCTGTCCTGCTGAGCCGCCCGGCCGGCGGCCCGAGCTCGCCCTCCTCTTCCCCGCTCTGCAGGCGTGTGGGTGAGCAGGGAGAGCACCGAGGCCCGGCCCAGCGCGGGGCCACACAGCACCCCAGGGTTCCCCGCTGCCTCTCGAGGGACCTGCGGGCGGCCTCTGCTGAAGAGCGTGCCTGGGGAGCCCAAGGAGAGTTCTGAGCAAGTTCCAGTCCAGCAGAGTTCTGGTGGAGCCCTCCCAGCAGTGTGCTGGTGCAGCACTGTGGGACATGGCCAGCGTGCTCCGCCTCTGCTTTGCTGGATTTGCTCACAGTGCTCAGTTATTAATGATTAAAAAAAAAGGAGAGAGTTCGGAAGAGGTTCAGAGAGATGAAAATCTGCTTTAAACTCGACTGACTGAAGTTTCCAGAATGTAGTAAGACGCTAATTAAGAAGCTACTTGCTCACAGTATAACAGAGATAAATTGTCTGTGCTCTTGGTTGTGGTTTTTGACAGTGGTTTTGAGCCTGTGGTTTCTGACTCCTAGGTGCTCTGTGGACCATCTTTGAAGGTCCATGGAATAAAAGTAAGACAAGAAAACCTATTCCCAAACAGAGAAGTCTTCATTGCTTTTGGAAAATTAGCTAAGATCTGAAAATTAAAGAAGGTTAAACACTGCGCTGGGCTCCAAAGCGATATGCAAACAAAAAAGGTGTAAACTTGTTGATAGTAGCCAATGATAAGCAAGTCTCAGTGCCGTTTACTTGAGGATGTAGTATATTCATGTAGTCTTTAGCTCAGAGTAGCTTGTCTTCCTTAAAGTTTAGTTGCTAAGCAAATAGAAATGATGGGGGAACAACGGGGAGGCGCTCCCTGCTTCCTAGGAGCCCGAGGACATTGCACTAGATCACTGGAGGGCAGAGTTCTGGCCTTAAAGGGTTTGAGCCTCTGCAGTATCTGAGGCGGTCCTGGTGTGCTGGACACACTGCCAGAGTCTGGACCAGCCTGGGGAGGTATGGAGGAGCCTAAACCCTGCCACTGCAGTAAGGATGACATGGAGTTTAATCTGCATTTTGGTATCAGGTTTCTCCATTGCTCCTATCTGCTTCCAGCAACATGTTGCAGTTTTGTGTTACTGATTTAGCAGTAATTAAGTCTGATTTTTACACTGTGCTGAGATACCATCTTCCGGGCAGCTAGTAAATGTGTAATTGTGCCCCATGTTACTTAGTTGTAGCAACAATTAACACGGAGTTTAGTATAAAGAAAAAAATCGACAGCGTGGGAGACTTCCTGTGCCCATTTGGGTCAGTTCCCCCCAGGCTGTGCTGGCCCCTGCACAGGTCTGGCCCTGGTCATTCCTGTGGATGTGAACTTGCCGCGTGGTGGTGGTGGGGTCTTGGGAGCTCCCATGGATGGTCAGCAGCCAGCAGATGTATAGATCCACCTCTGCAGGTGGAGGGAGTCACGCTCCAAAACCACCAGTTCCTGTAGCCACCATCATTTGGTCTTTTCTACTCAGGAATTGTTAGTGTTTGCTGCTGAAGTATCTTAAACCGTATTTGCAGAAGGAAACTCCATTCCCCTGTAAAAATATTTTCTCAGGTCACACGCATTTTTTTTTTTCCCCAGGCCTTATCTGTAGTATAGTTTGTGTGTTTTTAGCTTTTGTGCATTATCTGGCTGCTCTCTTGATTGCTCCAACATTTGGAGCTGTGTTATTTGAGAGATTTTTTGCAGGTGACCTCAGTGGTCCTCCCCGCACAGCAGCTGTGCCAAGGACAGCGCATGGCACCCATGGGTGCTTGGAAGGCTGGGCACCCTTTGCCGTGTGTTACGGCGTGGTCTGTGCACCCACAGGGATTCCTGTAGTCTTGGGGTGCAGCCAGGAGATAGCCCCAAATCCTTACGTACGTTTCTTTGTATCAGGTGCGTCTTCCTCTGGAAGGATCACTCAGATGTCAGTTGGCCAACTGTGAAAATGAGTTTTAAGAACTTTGGCCTGCCAGCAGGAGAGATGGGTGGAGAGGGGGCCGGCAGCAAGCCGTTTATCCCAGCCTTAAGGGGAGACAAAAATCATTGTACAAATTAGATTTCTGGCACATCTTATAACATTTTAACTTTCTGAGCAAAATTGCAGTATAAGGTCAAACTATATTGAATTAATTTGTTTCTTGATAAAAACTGTTTCTTTCTTAAATTAAGGCTGTCTTTTGCCTTGTCATTGTTCCTATTTGGTTTTATTTCAAAGATGAATAAGGCAAAAAAAAAAGTAATTTCAGGCATCTGGTTCTTTCCAGAAAAGGATCTGATTCTCCTTTTTTGTAGTGGTTTTTTTTTGTTTGTTTGTTTTTTGTTGTTGTTGTTGTTGTTGTTTGTTTGTTTTAATTGTTATCATCCCTTTAGTGAAAGTGTGGGATTTCAGACTTACATTTTTAACGAACAATTACTGTGTAAAGCTTCCATATTAATGAATGTGCATTTTCTGAAGTCTCAGGGAATGCAAGATCACAGCTCTGTGCCGTGAGAGTGGGGATTCACTTCCCCAGGAGAGGGGCACTGAGGGGGGTCACTCCACAGGGTTATCTTATGTGTGAAGCTGCTTCACTTGGTACCAAGGAGGTACAGTGGGGGCTGGATATATGTTGTACACAGAATTAGTTTTTACTATTTCTTGGTGTGAACGGTTGTCAAATTGATGAATGTCCTTTCATCCAAACAAAATTAATGCATGGGATTTGTTACTTGCCACATCTGAATTTAATGAAAAAAAATTATAAACAGGCCAATTCAATTTTCTTGTTTAGTTTACACAATTGCAACAAAAATAAGAGCATCTTCAAAGACGACGTCATACACCTGCTCACAGCTGCAGCCAGACCACGTGTCTCTGGCTGGGTTCTGGCTCTGCAGCTGCTGACTTCCTGGAGGCTGGTCTGTGGGCTGGGAGGACCATGGGCACAGCTTCGACTGAGCAAAAACGTGTGCCCCTCCAAGTTGGGCATGCTGTGCTCTGAAGATGGCTGTTGGCTCGCCTTCAGCCACTTGTGAAAGAAACCATGTCTTTCAGAGCTGTCCTGCAGAAGTGCAGCGTGGAGAAAGGTGACACAAGCAGCTGGCACTGGAACTGCCAGCTCGTGCTGGTCAGTAGGTGATGGCCTGGAGAGGTAGCCGGGGGTGTTCCTCCTAGGTCCGTACTGAGCGTGGTCTTTGTTTTAGGTGATGCCATCAGGACCGTAGATATGCCCATAGCTTCTAACTAATCATGTCAATTCTCCTCCTCAGGGCCGATGTTCAAGGGAAAACTGCAAATATCTCCACCCGCCGCCACACTTAAAAACGCAGCTGGAGATAAATGGCCGCAATAACCTGATCCAGCAGAAGAACATGGCCATGCTGGCCCAGCAGATGCAGCTCGCCAACGCCATGATGCCTGGGGCCCCGCTGCAGCCCGTGGTACGTGTGCTGCTGCCTTCCGTCGCTGGGCACGGGGGCTGTGGGGGGAGGAAGTTCATGGGTGTGTTACGAGCTGGAGAACCCCACGGGCGCCGGTTACTGGTGGAGGAGTCGGGTTCTGTGACGTGCCAGTCTGTCTGTCCTTGTGCTGCTCGGTTCTCCCTTGCCTGAAGTATTACTGTTAATTTAATTATTTTTTTTGCTACATATTTCTTGAAATTAAGAAAGTGAGTTATCTGTGTGTGAGTAGACTTCCCCTTTGCAATTTTTGTGCTCTGGGAAATTCCTGGGTATGAGAAGATTCCCACTGGATGTTTTCCGTTTATTCAGGGGAACCTTCTCAGGGAATCGTTTGCTGGAGTTGGACTTTGGTTCTTACGGCATGCTGACAGGCAGAGCAGGCAGCTTGCACTGCATGATGTGTGATGCATGTTGTAGAATCGTAGAACCCCAGACTGGTTTGGGTGGGAAGGGACCTCTCAAGGTCACCCTAGTCCAATCCCTCTGTAGTGAGCAGGGACATCTGCAACTAGAGCAGGTTGCTCAGAGCCCTGGCCAATCTCACCTGGAAGGTTTCCAGGGTTGGGGCCTCTCTGGGAAATCTGGGCCAGGGTCTCACCACCCTCAGTGTCGAAAATGTCTTCCTTCTCTCTAGTCTTCCTTTTTTAGTCTAAAACCATCACCCCTTGTCCTGTCGCAACAGGCCCTGATAAAAAGTCCGCCCCCAGGTTTCTGACAGCGCCCTTGAAGTCCTGAATCGCCACAAGAAGGTGTCTGTGGGGCCTTCTCTTCTCCTGGCTGAACAACCCCAGCTCTCTCGGCAGTGGAGTTCCAGCCCTCAGGTCACTTTTGCAGGATCCACAGCTGAGGCTTGGCAGGAGGAGGGAGAAGGACAGGTAGTCAGACTTTCTACAGACAGCCAGGGGGTGGGGTGAGGAAAATCTATCAGAAACCTCTTACCTGGTCACAGTAAAATAGGATCATCTATTACATCCTATGACAGAGTTGGCTGCCGTAGCTGAGTGTCTTGCTGTGCAGCAGTCCCTCTTCCCAGCAGCATGAAGGTGGTGGGCATCACCCCACCCTGTGTCTGCCCCTGGGGGACCTGAACGCCAGGTCCCTCTCTCATGCAATCCAGAGAGGACCTTTGTGCTAACCTAGTGGGAAATTTGGCCCGGAATCCTTCCGATACAAATTTCTAGCTTGAACATTAGAAGGTGCTGATTAATGTATGAGCCAGGCTGGTGTATTCTACATAAAATGACAAATGGTGCTTTCTGCTGAAGGCTGAAGCTTGCCCTTTCAAAGGGTAAAATGGCAGCAAAGGAAAAATAAGTTGGAAAAATATATATGAAATAAATACATCTGCATTAGCACTTCTCTGACAATTCTTTTATTCCTTTCTTGCTGGCAAAGGTAGAATTTAGAGTTTAATTTGCCTCTGGATATATTCCATTAGGAAACACGCATTCACTCTGTCAGTTGAGTTCTTCAGCTTTTAATTTCAAAAAACGTGGTGACAATTAATACTCCGCAAAATACAGCTAGATCCTTAGGAAAAGTCATCTCAGCAGAAAGGACTCTCATACTTGTGTGAAATGGTTATTTGGCCCCACGTTTTGTGGATTTACAGTAAATATTTTGTAGCTTATTTGATGCAGTTGATATGACTTGTTCTCCCACAGAGCTTTATGCTGCAACTGCTTCAGGACGAAGTGCATGTGGGGGAGAAAAGCAGAAAATGTTGTGGTAGGATTGTCACAGTAAATTGACTTTAGTACCTGTTAGCACAGCATGAGAAGGTGCCCCCTTGTGTTTTCTCTCTTTTGATTGCTTTTTCTTTTAAGTAGAACTGTCGGTGTCAACCAGGCAAGGCAATGAGCCGAGGCAGCGCGTGTGCGGGGGGACACCCTGGCCCTGCCCCGGGGGCCGCTGCTGGCTTTGGGGTCAGAAGCCAAATGACGTGTCTGTGGAGCTAGAGAGCTCTAAATCAGGCTGTGCTTGACGTGTCGGAACTCCAGAGCAACCTGAAAATGACTTTTCAGCTTCAGCAGCACAAAAGAGATGTGTGCACGTGCCACAGTTTTATTTTTATTTCCTGATTTGAGTGCAGTGCTACAGCATTAGTGCCAGCAGGCTCATATTTGGGACTATGAGAAAGCTGAAGTAAAAATACAACCAACAGTAAGAACCATTGCTTAAAATATTCGCATCTGCCAACCTGTTGGTGTGTCGTTTCCATGAGCTGTGACCAAATACAGCATGCTTGGGTTTGTACACAGTAGTGTGTCTCACACACTGACGTTTGGGTAAACGTGAAAAAGTACCAACACAGCCCTTTGGATTAGCGTTCCTTTTTGATCTAAGGAGAGGCTTGTGTGAGGGTAACATTTAAATCCAGTGGAAATTTTCCTTTGTCACACTCCTGCTGTTCCTGATGAGGCAAATGTGAGTGGATTGGGAACTGCAGCACAGCCCTTCCCACTGTGCCTGGGCAGTTCCTGTGTACCTGCAGAGTTCATTCCCTTTCATTGCAAGGATTCATTACGAGACCCACTGCATGTCCCAGCAATAGTATTTCCAAATGGTTGTCATCCTACTAATTTGGCCTTAAAACGGCTTTCTTTTTTAGCACAGTTGAAAGGGATGTTATATCAGGGTGGTCTGGCAAAGTGACTGATGATATCCCACCTACCGATGCTTCAGTCGGTTTGTTTTGTTTTACAGAAATCGATACCCCATGCTTTAATAACAGTGAGTGAACTTAATGAGAGACTCTAATTTGGTAAGCAAAGCAGTAGGATTCTTTCACTCATATTTCTCTTTGATAAATGTTTCAATTATCTTAGTTGCAAGTAATGTTTGTGGGCGTTTCTCATCTTTTTAGTTCACTCTGCAGCGGGCACTCAAGGGAGGGGGCTTTTGGGTGGTCAGGACTGAGCTGACTGTGAGCTCCGAGGCCCTGCGGGATTGCTCTGCCTGCATGGGTCCCTGCTGCCTCTGCGCCTGCAAACCTCTTCTGGGGGATTGCCGGGCTCAGCTAGACTCAGGCTTTTTTGGTTCAGAAAGACCTGGACAGACTGGAGAGCTGGGTGGAGAGGAACCTCATGAAGTTCCACAAGGGCAAGCATAGGATCCTGCATCTGGGGAAGAATAACCCCCCTGCACCAGAACAGGTGAGGCTTGTTGGGAAGCAGCTCTACAGAGGAGGACCTGGGAGTGCTTGCGAACACAAAGTTCACTATGAGCCAGCAATATGCCCTCATGGCCAAGAAGGCAAATGGTCTCCTGGGTGCACGAAAAAGAGTGTGGCCAGCAGGTCAAGGGAGGTTCTCCTCTCACTCTACTCTGTGTGAGGCCACACCTGATGTACTGTGTACGGTTCTGGGCTCCTTAGTTCAAGAGAGACAAGGTACTATTGGAGAGAGTCCAGTGGAGGCTGTGAAGATGCTGAAAAGACTGTAGCATCTGTGAGGAGGAAAGGCTGAGAGCTCTAGAGCTGTCGAGTCTGGAGAAGAGATGGCTGAGAGGGGATCTGATCAATGCTGAGCAAGAGCTAAAGGGTTCATGGAGGGCAAGAGGCTGGGGCCAGACTCTTGTCAGTAGTGCCCAGCAACAGGACAAGGGGCAATGGGCACAAACTGGGACCCAGGAGGTTCCATCTCAACAGGAGGAAAAAATTCTTTTCTATGAAGGTGCCCAAGCCTGTCACAAGCTGCCCAGAGAGGCTGTGGAGTCTCCTTCTCTGGAGAGATCTCAGACACACCTGGACATAATCCTGGGAACCCTACTCTGGGTGACCCTGGTGGAGCAGGAGGATTGGACAGAATGATCTCCAGAGGTCCCTTCCCACCCCCACCATGATGGGATTCTGGAATTTGGCACTGGAACATGAGCTGGTACCAGCACGTTAGTGGGTGGTGCTGCTCTGCTTCACAGCAGCAATGTCAGACCCTGGGTTTACCTTTCCCAGAGTGGAAGAGTGAAGAGTACTGTGCAGAAGCAGAAGGATGCAGACATGAGACCAGAAGAGTGGAGATGGGCTGCCAAGGTGCCTGGGGACTCTGGTGCCATTCCCTGGCTCCAGGGGCATGCGGGGAGCCCTGGGGCTGGTGGCAGGCCTGTGTTGGTGCAGAGTGGAGCGAGGCCCCAGAGCTCCATGCCGCATGTGCCGCAGGCCGCCCGCCTTGCTCTGGGCGATGTGGCCCGTGCCGGTGCTCTCCCTGCCATGGCCCATGCTTGGCAGATCAGGGTGTGTTAAATGAGTCTGGCTCCTTCCCTGTGGTACTGCAGGGCTGGAGTGCTGGCAGGAAGCTTGTCTGTTACTTCGTGGCTCCACTGCACTGCAGAGACCGACTTCCAAAGGTGCCCCCGTGTCTCCTTTCCTCCCCAGTCGATAAGCGCTGCTAGAGAGCATTGCCTCTGGAAGGCAGCCCCGTGGAGGCTGGAGCTGCTGGTGAGGTTCACGGTGGCTGTGCACAGGCAGCTTTAGAGCAGAATTGTTCAGTAGAGGAGGTGACATGGGTTACAGGGCATCTGGCAGCACAGAGTTGCATCCAGGGTGGTGTCCTCCCTCACCTCTCATGTCATCAACAGGGGCTGCTTTTTTCTTTTGGTAGATGTTTTGCATGATGCACATCAACGTGGTAGGGCCCAAACTGCGAGGCCAGTGAGTACTTGTATGGTTTGCTGGTGGTGACAGAGAAATGCTACCTCCTAGAGACGGGGAAGCGAAAGTTTGCTGGAGATCAAGTGAGCAGCAAACAGCAGAGATGAGCCCAGCAGCTTGGACTGACTCGGAGCTCCCCTGTCTCTCCTCCCAGAGAGGTCCCAGTTCTGACCAGCTTGCAGTTAAAGGCAGGGGAGCCCAGGTTGCCCCTCGGCTGATGCTTGGGGTGGCCCTGGCCACAGCATCCCGCTCCTCCCTGCGGTCTGGCGCCGGGGGCAGTCCTTGGGGTGTCCAGCCTGTGCCTCCTGTCTTGTGAGGCCACTGTTGCCAGAGGTTTGTCCTGGGGGTGGGAGCATTGGGTGGCTCTGTGCAGGCGCAGCTCCTGCTGCCCAGGCTTCACCATCCCAGGGTCTCCTCCTGCCACCGGTGTTCTCCCAGGCTGGGCTGTACTACTGTGGGACAGGGTTTTATCTCCTAGCTTGTATGTGTACAGCACACTGTAAAGCACCTGTGAGTTTCAGAATAACGTGAAGTGGCTCTGATAAAATATGCTGTTATTTTGCAGTGGTCTAAAGATGTCAGGATATTTCAATCAGTAGAAACTGATTTTGGGAGAAAAGAAATGTGGCAGTCCTTAATTGCACAGCAAGTACATTGGGCTGAAATCAAACAGATCTCTTTAGTTATGCATTAGCGGGCTGGTTTGTAGTTTTGTATTTAATGTTCATTATTACATAGCTGATAACACAGTAATGAAACTGCAGTTAATTCATAGTGTATTGAAGAGTAGTATTTAATTTCCTGTAAAATTTGCCTATTTGTGTTTTATTCACATAGATGAAGAACTAGAGATGTTAAAGAAATTATTCCCATTTACACAAGTTCCACTCTTTTTTTCTTCAGTAATCCTTGCCTGTGTTTTTGTCCAGTGTTTCAAATGGACTTGTTCTTGCTTCTAAACGGTTTGGTCATTTCCTCAGGAATCCCAGCTCAGGTGGTGGTATGTGCTGTCTGGCTCAAACAGATATGAAAAGAGAAAAGACTTGCCTTAGCTTTGTCCTTGGTTTTCGCTGTAAAAACTAGTTTGGAAGAAATATGGGAATGCCTTGCGTAACTCCTTCATTTAGATACTAAAGATAAGCACTGCAGACTGGATTTTATTTGGACATTACACTGGTAGCATGGTGCCTTTGCATTCAGTGGGGCTAAAGAGTTATTTATTCTTTGCTGACGTGTAACAGCTCCACATTTGGTCTCACAGCATTATTGGGTCCTCTACATCCAATTATCTTCACAACACATAATAGCCTACAAGGGCTTCTGACTCTTTCTTTTTTTAAAACAAGCAAACAAACAAAAACTCCCAGTATTTGCACTCTCTCTCTCTGGCTTAAAGTTTTAGTCTAAATAAAGCATCTTCTCGATGTTGCATTTGTCTCTCTGGCTATCTGCGTGGACAGCCTGTTTAGTTTTGTAAAAATAAATGATTACGATCGTCTGGTCTTGTTCCTGTCTTAAACCTCTGTCATTTCTGAACCAGCACAGGCTGTCATCAGGCTCAAAAATGTATTTATCCATGTCTGAAGCTGAGCGTGGTTCAGTGGTGTGTCTGGCCTCTTGTGCAGATGCCTGCACACATTTTGGATATGTCCTTCCACGAGCCTCAGACCTCCTGTGCTGTGGGAAGCGCTCGTGTGTGATGTCATTGCTCCAGGGAGGGTCAGGTGAGAGTTTGCTTAGAAGCTGCCATGGTACAGGGGAAGCCTGAGAGGGAGAACCAGCAGAGGCTTGTGTGCGATGCCTTGGTAACAGAAGCTCACTGCCGTCGTGCTCAAGATGACAGCGACAATGGCATTGTGCTGACGGCATGGCAAGTATAAATATTTAAAGTGGTTTTCTTCTTGTTTCCTGTGATTGCAGCCAATGTTTTCTGTTGCACCGAGCTTAGCTGCCACCAGCGCATCGGCCACCTTCAACCCCTACCTGGGGCCTGTCTCCCCAGGCCTGGTCCCGGCGGAGATCCTGCCCACGGCCCCGATGCTGGTGACAGGGAACCCTGGTGTCCCGGTTCCTGCCGCTGCCGCCGCCGCAGCCCAGAAGCTAATGAGGACAGACAGGCTGGAGGTAGGAGCTGATATCTGTAACTTACTCTCACAAGTTGTTTTATAGCTGCAAGAGACATAATAAACAATACGTTTCTCTTGTGAAAGAAAATAATTCAGGTTTCGATTCAGCTGATAATATCATATTCAGGGCAGAACTTCTGGCTCTCAACAGCTCCCTAACAGGAGGTTGGATCCAGGTGGGGTTGGTCTGTTCTCCCAAACAAAAAGTGACAGGACAAGGGGAAGTGGCCTCAACTTGTGCAAAGGTTGATGTTGGACATGAGGAACAATTTCTACTTTGAAAGGCTTGTGAAGGCCTGTCCCCAGGCTGCCCAGGGCAGTGGTGGAGTCCCCATCCCTGGAGGGGTTTCCAAGCCGTGGAGATGTGGTGCTGGGGGACATGGGTCAGTGGGGACCTGGCAGTGCCGGGGGAATGATTGGACTCAGATGATCTTAAAAGCCTCTTCCAACCCAAACTATTCTATGGTTCTGTCTTGGTAACAGGCAGGGAGAGGGAACTGCTGATCATGCAGTAGGTTAATGCTTGTGGTTCTGCTGCTGACCCTCCATTGCAGAAAGAAATGGAAATATTGAGCTTTTTTAGGAATGACCATGGCTGCAGTGAGAGCGCCTCAAAGCTGTGTTAGTGTGTGCCCAGAGGGTGTTAACGCTGGGGGTGCATGGGCAGAGGTCCCGAGCCCCGGGCAGTGTAAGGGCAGAGCTGCTGCGGGGGCAGAGGCGGCTCGTGGCTGCGCTCCCACTGTCGCCCTGGGTGGGTGGTGCCGACGCTTTCCCGCCAGCCTCCCCCGCACATGGCTTATCGGCCTTGCCGCAGCCCCGGCAGGCGCCCATGCGCTCGAGCTGCTGCTCTCCCTTCCCCTGAATCTTTCTTATCTGAAAGGCCTGACAGTGTTTTCGGCACCTTATCGGCGCGGGCCGCCAGCGAGCAGGCAGCCTGGCTGGGTCCAGGCGATGCGCCAGCACCCCGTTTGTCCACTGGACCCAGGGGTGTCTACAGTAACGGATTAATTCCCCTTATGAGGGAGGTTATGGGCTTGGTCTGCTCTCCCAAGGGGGAAGCAGTAGGGCAAGAGGAAACGGCCTCAAGTTGCACAAAGGGGAGATTGAGTTTGGAGCTGAGGAACAATTTCTTCCCCTTGAGGGTTGTCCAGGGCTGTGCCAGGCTGCCCAGGGCAGTGGTGGAGTCCCCATCCCTGGAGGGGTTTCCAAGCCGTGGAGATGTGGTGCTGAGGGACATGGGTCAGTGGGGACCTGGCAGTGCTGGGGGAAGGGTTGGACTCAATGATCTAGAAGGTCTCTTCCAATCAGAACGATTCTATGATTCTAATTCATTTCTCTTTCTTAATTGCATCTCTGGCTGACAAGCTGCCACTCAGAAGGCTGCAAGCTGGGAGGAGTGTGGAGGGTCATCTGGCAGCGAGTGTTTCCTCCTGCCGCTGTCACTGTTCAGAGCTCACATCACCACCACAGGTTCCCCTTCTGCGGGATCACATAATTTTCTTTTTTAGAGATGTTTTCTCCAAGGAAGGCGTTCCCTGAAGCATGACTGGGCTGCAGGAGAGGCAGCCACCCTGAGCTGAGAGATGGCACGTGGGTGGATCTCTGGAATCACCACAGGATGTTTTTCCTTTGAGGCCTCTCTTTCACGATGGATACCCGCCAGATGTGGATTAAAAGTAGAATGCAATTGGATAAATTCATAAATAAATAAATGACAGCAGATTCAGAAATGAGTACCAAGAGGGGGATGCTGATGGCAGGAGACCCTTTGTGTCGCAGCGCTGAGGCTGGCTGCTGTGTTTGGTTATGCTTCCACCCATGTGCCACGGTGCTGTTTAGTGGTGCTGGGGCCATGTGGGCTTACAAGTTTTCTGTTCATAAGCAGGAGCAGGATGTGTTTGAGGCCCCCAAGTACCAGCTCTGCCCATGGCCAGAGAAGCGCCTGCCTCCATGGGAGCCCAAGAGGGGCTGTGTGGGGGAACCTCTTCATGTGGTGCCTCTGAGGTAGAGCTTGTGCTGACTGGCAGGCTGTGACCAGACTGCACAGGGAGCTGAGGAAATCCGGGCTTAGCTTGCAGGATCTGCTCCTCCAGATGCTTGCATTCCGTTTATCATAGAATCGTTTTGGTTGGCAAAGACCATAAAGATCATCAAGTCCAACCATTTACCCAGCACTGCCAAGTTCACCACTAAACCATGTCCCTCAGCACCACCTCTGTGTGTCATTTAAATAATTTATACAGCTATTTAGAGAAGTGATATGCTGCTGAGCCAAACTCCCCCGCATGAGAAGGAGTTGTGAGAGTGTTACTCTCACAAAACACCCAGGGGCACAGTCTGCAGTAAAAAAACATTTTTATCAATTAGAAAAAGCCAGCAAAAACATCTGAAGTAAGTAAATTTTTAAAAGAAGGCCAACTGGTTTTTCTTTGAGCTTGTATGTAAAGAAACATGATGGCCAAGTTGGAGACCCCTGAAAATAAGTGTTTAAGCTTGGAGAAGTGCCTCTTCTGTCACTTTTTTAAATGGCACTGTCACTTTAAAGAACTCCAGCTTCTTTTACCCTTCAAGCTGTTTAAGTTTTGCTTTTTATTTTGGCTGGGATCGAAGGCACATCCAGGTTGACCCACCGACTCTGCAGTTCCACACCACACTGTGTTTGCCTTACAAAACCAGTACCAGTTTGGGGCAGGAGGTGTCTTTTCCTCCTCTTTTTTTCCTTACAGCAAACGCAGTTTAAATAGTGAAATATGTAAATGAGAAGATAATGTGCTGGTGCTTTCCAGTGTATTGGTCAGTTAGTTGGGAGCAGCCAAATGTAGTGTGCAGACAGCAAGAAAGCACATCAATTTTATGAGCAGGGAACCATTTTAATGTACTTTACAGATTACAGACATGCAGAACTGATTTGGAAGATTTTGTATGGCCTGCTTGTTCCCTCTCCAAGATGCCAGCCTGTGTCTACCTGCTCTTTAAGTGAGCTTTTGGCTGTGGGTATTGTCATTTGTTACTACGTGATCAGAGAGCTTTATAAGGCTTAGGTCGCTCTCCCTTGGAATGAACTGTCCTAGAGAAAAATAACCACTCTGATGTTAGCATCTAATCTTGGAATATGGTTTGTTCTGCTTAGAATTTTAAATACTTATTTTCAGGAGTGTTCTCCAGCGTTAATTAAGTTAGCACACATGTTCTGGGGTGCTGAATCAGGCTGTCCCACAACTAAAAGCTCTCAATGCATGTACCTGGGATGTTAAGGAAAGCAGGCAGACAACCCAGAGCCATCAGGCAATGTGCCCAGGCTCCAAAATTAATACAAATATTGGAGGGATAAGGTCAGTGACTGTTACTAGCAGTAGGATTGGTTTTGTGTGTATCAGGACCACGTTGCTGGTACAGATAGCATGGAGATGTTTGGGTGTCCAGTGTGCTTGGCCAGTCCCATAAAAAAAAAATCTGGATCTCAGGGTGGAAATTTCATGGGCTGAAGCCATCCTACATCCTACAGCTTTCCTCACAGTGCTCTCCTGCCAGAAATATCTGGAATAAAAGTGTGGCTCTTCCAGTGAATTAGAAGAGAAGTGAGGAAAGAGAAGTGAGAGGGAAAGGAGTTGCCTAATGTTTTATTTAAAACTCCTATTTTTCCATCTATTCCACCTGTGTCTCTCCAACCAAACCTCTGCCCAGCCTTGGGGTGTGCAGCCTGCGACCACAGCTGAGGTGATGTGATGGTTGTCCCCCCACCATGGTAGGCAACCTGAATCCCTTCAGGGTGACCAAATTACCCAGCCCAGAGTCAGAAGAAGTTGGGTGAATCACAGTCAGTCAGTATCACTGAAGCACTGTTTTTGCAGACAGGCGAGAGATGTACAGGGTGCCTCCTTTGTTTATGTTTCTTCATATACTGAGTTGAAAACAATGATACTAATTGCAGGGCTATTAATAATTAAATAAATAAAAGCTCTCCAGATCTGAAAGGCCCGACAGCATCTCATGCTTCTGTGCCTCTCATTACTCAAGCAGATGAATGATATATTGCTGCGTGCCCGTGGCAAAAAATGACACCATTGTCAATGCTTGCTTTTAAATGAAAGCAAACAAGAATGGGAAGCATTCTTGGTTACCATCACAGGGGTTGAAGAGCCTTTGCTGGTCACACTGATTAATAGGACTGCAGTGTTATGGTTTGTGTCTTCCCACTGCAAACCATCTGTCAGAGATCTGGTGGGGAGTGCTGAGAGTGAGCCGCTTGTTGCCTTAGCTCAGCTACGGCCTGACAGCTTGGGGGAAACTTGCTCTGGACCTGCCAAAGATTATCTGTCTAACTATTTTGGTTTCCTGGCCATCCTCCTTTGGTTTTCAGCTATGGTAAAACTAGCTTACCTGTGGATGCATTTTCTTTCTCTCTGTGTATACAAATAATTTATATATACACTTCTATATGAATCTGTATAAGCATCTTTGATTTATTAATGGGGTAGTTCTTGCCTTTATCTGGAGTGGTTTTGAGACTTTGGTTTTGTGGATCACTAGTGCAAGACAAAAAAAGCAAAGACAGTCCACTGACATTAATTGCATCTTTTATCTTCAGAAGAGAAGACTGCAGTTTGTTTTTAGACTGCAAACAAATAATCAAAGGAAAACATCCGTTTTTGTCTGAACTGGCTTGTTTCGCTCTGCTGCCGATATACCTCCAGAGACATGGTCTCTGCATGGAAAAGGACTACAAATAGGGTCATGCTGGAATGGCCTTGGACAAAGGGATGTTTCCCGCAAGCAGGTTCACAAATGGCATTGCTCTTGTCAGTCAGGGTGTCACTTCAGAGCTCTTAGGTGATGGGCTGCTGGAACTTGAAGCAGCACAGGGGTTAAAAAGCAGCTAGAGCAGTAGCATGGATTGAAACTGCACAACAACCAAATTTGCTTTATTGCAGAGATCAGAGCCAAGCTCCTTGAGGAAATACTGATGATCCAAGCTTATGGACACCCACCTTTAAAAGGAAATTTCATCTACTACAGGAGTTTTATTTTTACACAAACTTGGTTGCTTTTGTCCCTTTCTGTTTCCCATAGCCTTTGTAAAACTGAAATGGCAAAGGCATTTTTGTTAGTGGTTGGTGAAGAGCTGACTGTGACAAGAACACGTCAGTTTGTTAAATACAGGGTTTGCAAGGTGTGTGAAGACCAGGCTGAGGTTTGTTGCGCTAGTGACGAAGTCAGTGTGAGTACTGCTGGTGATGGCTGGAGCTCCAGGAGGGCTTGGGGCTAGGCTGGAACCTGTGTTCCAGCAGTGGGAATGTCCTCCAACCAGGTAGCTTTCTTTGGGCAATTTCTGATTTCTTCAGCTTTGTCTGGCTGCTGTCACATGGCAGCAGTGTGACAGTGGGACCAGTGACTGCTCTGGCTGCAGCCTCTGCTTGCCAACATGGCCCACCTTCCACCAACCATAGAACAGTCCAGGTGGGAAGGGACCTTTAAAGATCATCTAATCCTCCCACCCTGCAGTCAGCAGGGACATCCCCAACTAGAGCAGGTTGCTCAGAGCCCCGGCCAACCTCACCTGAAATGGTTCCAGGGATGGGGCAGCAACCACCTCTCTGGGCAACCTGAGCCAGGGCCTCACCACCCTCAGCATCAAAAATTTCATCTTTCTCTCTAGTCTAAATCTCTCTCTTTTAGTTAAAAACCATCACCGGTCCCAACAGGCCTTGCTAAAAAGTCTGTCCCCAGCTTTCTGACAGGTCCCTTGAAGTACTGGAAGGCCCCCAGAAGGTCTCCCTGGAGCAGGGAGCTGAGCTCACCATCAGGAACTGGGCTTCTCCTGGAACTGAGCTTCCAGAAGTGACAGCTCCGCTCTAAGCTGTGCAAGTTAGTTTGGAAGTCTCCCAAACTAATTGACTTCCTTCTCCTGGTGCCGCAGGTATGTCGGGAGTACCAGCGTGGCACCTGCAACCGGGGAGAGAACGACTGCCGGTTCGCTCACCCCGCCGACAGCGCCATGATCGACACCAACGACAACACAGTCACCGTCTGCATGGATTCCCCCCCCCCGCCGACAGCGCCATGATCGACACCAACGACAACACAGTCACCGTCTGCATGGATTACATTAAAGGGAGATGCTCGCGGGAAAAGTGCAAATATTTCCACCCTCCGGCGCACCTGCAAGCCAAGATCAAGGCTGCCCAGTACCAGGTTAACCAAGCTGCAGCTGCCCAGGCAGCAGCGACAGCAGCTGCCATGGTGAGTTTGGAAAACACCTCTGGACTAGAGATGTGTCAGCGAGAGTCACTGATCGGTGTGTTAGCTCTTCCTGCTGGAAGGGGGGGGGGTGCACTCGGGGTCCCGGTCACAACACGGTGCAACAACCTTCCTTAGCATGCGGTACTAGATCTGCTCTGAAGTAGTTTCAGACTGTTCAGGTGTTTCACTAATTTTGCCTGCTGATGTACAGAGTATCTATATGTACATATATGTGTGCATATGTGTGTGCGTGTCTGTGCGTGTGTGGGCATATATGTATATATAGTTTATTGTGTCTCTGTGTGTGGGTAGATGCCTATCTATCTAGCTGCTCAGATAGATCAACCCCAATTTCAGATACTGTGAGTCTGTGTTGGCAGACATTTAGTTTTTAGAGACCTCCCTGTGTCAGCACTGCCCATAGCCCCGTCCTGCCCCACGCCGAGGGCTGCCGGCC